CAAATTTTGTCGCACATACTTAGTTTCCGATTCTATTTATATGAAATTTAACCCTAAAAATTTCGTTCGGTATACATTGCAATTTCTTCAAATAAATAAATAAATGATGAAAAAAATAATAAAATAAATAAATAAAAATAAATAAAAAAAAATATATTTGATTTCGTTAGGATCTTTTTGAACAGACTACTATTTAGCAATAGAGCAAAAAGTTAATCCATAGTTATATTGTATTCATTATAAAAAAAAAAATTTTAACTTTACGTTTAACTAAAGGTTTTACATAAAATTTACAATAAAGGTAAATTTAACTTTTAAAACGTTAATAACTGTAAAACAGTAATTAAATATCTTTATGATAAAATGTTTCATAATAATGTTGCAAAATCATGATGAGGAAAAAAATACACTTTCAATTTTAAGACTTTAATATAGAATTATAAAGAAAAACAAAAGCGGAATAATAAATTGAGAATAATATTAAGAAAGGATGATTAGTAAATATTACTATAAGAACAAATAAATAAGGACTAAATTTATAAATGCACTACTTTTGTAACTTATATTAATTTTATTCTGATGACAAGCAAAGATTTCTGAAACTTTTTTTGTTTGTTAGTGATCTTATTTTTTTACTCACATTTGTTTCCAATGAAAATGCGTTAAACGTGGTAAGGTGATAATTATCTTTTCTTGGTATTAAAAAAAGACAGTTCTTTTTATATGTTCTACAAACTAAAACCTTTATAACTAATACGTTATTAGATCATCGGTCTACTTTATTTTTACTTCTTCGATTAAAAAAAAACATGTAGGAAACATTACTATTTCGATTATCTCAATGGATGGTGTTTTCAATATAAATGCGAACAACATTCTCGAGCTCTTGACCTGCTTTCCTTCCGGTTACAAAGCATACAGCTGCTTATTACTTTGGAAGGAATATTTTAATTTATTGTTTTCTTTCATAAATAAATGTTTACTTAATAATAATACGGGTTGTCCTTTCACAAAAAAGTGACACTGGACTAAAATAATAAAATAGATGATAAAATTACAAGTTCGAATGATCGATCGAATACTATTTAATCATATATAAAATTAGCTCTAATATAGGAAGATAGGATTCAGGAATCTAGCGTTTTCCAGCACGCCAGTATTATATTGTATCTTTCTAGTGTAAAATAAAATATTTTTGCTACCTGAGAAGTGACATCAGCTTAGACATCTCTATTAAATTTTTATTTTTAAAAATCTTAAGTTTTAAAAAATTTAAAATCCATGTTTAAAAAATTTAAAAATCTATGCTAAGAGTTAAATATGGTTACGTGTTATTTCTCTTGCTTTCTCTCCTCTCTCCCTCTCTACTTTTGTTTGATATTTCCTCAAACGCGAAATAAAGATCTAGGGAGAGAAAAATATGTATTCTACAGCAATAGATAGTCAGTTATTTAAAAGGGGAAAAAAAAGCCCTAAGAAAGAATTCACCTTAGAATTTTTTTTATAAAGAGATAATGAACAGATTATAGCCTTGTAAAATCGAAGAAAATTGTTGAAAAATCCTTATGAGTTCAATATTTTAACAATGGATGATTATTGAAAGATTGAAGTCTCTCTCTCTTTTTTTTAGCTAAATTGGAAATCAAATATTATATGGAATTAAGTTTATTTCTAACAGAATTCTAATTTAGATAAACATTAATACGGATCAGCTATGATTTCTCGGTGATACCATGTTATCTACAACATTTAACAGTTAAGTCACTATCACTCTATTAAACGTTCAAAATTTATGCGACGTGAAAACGTACTCATTTATCGCAAAATTTGAGGTCAGTTAGAATCTACTGTTTTTATTTCCTTCACAGAACTCCTTGAAAAGATAAAAACGTCTTTGAGTTCGGTTGTATACGTCTTTACCTATTTCGATTAGATAATATTTGCGTGATTCTTTTCGGGAATAACAACAGATCATTAAATTGATCTTAACTGTCAATCCATTTGTTATTTGCTCCCACATTTTTACGACGTATGGACAATGATTGATGCAGGATGTAAATACAATTTGATTCAGTTATCATAAATGCCTCATTCATTAACTTTTTCACGGCTTTTTTAAGGACCACGGAAAATATAAAATTATTTCATTTTTGTCACGTTTTTCATTTTCATTTTTGTAAAGATTTAAGGAAAAAATTATTTCATTTTTGTCACGTCTGTAACAAAACGCATAAGTTAATTTTTTCTTCTTTAAAAAAAAAAAAATCCTATTTAAGGAAGTAGTTGGTAACTTAACTAAATTATTTCTGGTGTATTTTTTTCAAAGTGATCTTTGATAAAACACCATCATCTTCTGTCTCAGATGATGATGGAAGTGTTGAAAATTTAACGTTACCCGGTGGTCTCCTATGAACCTAAGTCACGAAGGCAAGCAGCATTACCCTCGACACAGTGAATGCCCGTTCCTACAGTGGGCCACATTCACGCATCAAGGACAGCTGGCAGAGAGAAGCTTGAGTGGGACTTGAATCCGCAACTAATGACTTCTCAGTCGGACACGCTAACCACTCAGTCATCTAGTCTGCGTAGAAATACATTTTATTTTGCCCTAAACACAATCACCCAGAATGTAGATCACGCAGACATAAAGGTGGATATTTTGCAAATTTTTCTATAATTTTTGCACTGCATTAATTAAGAGTGATATCATATTAAAGTATATTCTGCAAACACCCATTAATATCTAGAAATATTGCTAGAAATTTTTTTTAAAAATTAATGTGTCCAAAACAATCACTCTAGAGGCGAGCATATTTAGGACTGACGTAAGACTGAGCACTTCTCAATTTTTTGTCTTACATCTAGTCCCGTATTTGAAACCGGTTTTTCATTTAAATATGGTCCCTAACTTTTCAGAAAACACCACATGTGTCTGAATTATTTAACTTTTTAAGAAAAAAAAATCTTATTTCATCAAAAATACACTCACATATTGCGCTAACATAACTAGGGTGGATATTTCAGCAAATTTCTTAAAAATTTTCAGTTCGCATAATTCTTTTGAAACTGGTTTCATATTAAAATGTTGGCATTATGTTTTCAGAAAAGAAAAACATGCATGTCTAGAAATATTTAAAGTGAATTCTGAAAATAATCTTATTTCATCTAAACAATGCACTAACGCTAGGGGTGGGGGGGGAGAGGGATAAGACTGAAAAGTGGGAGGAGACCGGGTACATAAATTGGATCGAAATTAATTCTATTTTCTAGCAAACAAACTTTGGATTACATTTTACTAGTCAAGGAAGAGGAGCAACCGTATTGGCGTCTTGTTATTGATTAATTCACGTCATCTGTGTAGATAAGTTTGTTTTACTTTGTCAACTCTCTAATGTTCTTTTATTTTTTAAGCTATCCTTATTTAATAGCCATTACAGTTACAAAAATTATTTTTAATCCATCTTATTATGCGTTTACTAAAGATTCCTACCTTAAAACTATAAGAATTTAGTCCGATATTAGTCCAATATATAAACAGTATTATGTTATGTTTCGATAACCTCTGCTCTTTGTATAATGCCCGGTACGTGCCAGTTTACCCCCTCCCCTCTTTTTGCGTCAATACTGGGTTCACGAAAACTACAGTGTAACGGAGAAAGCAGATAACTTACATCCAAGGTTGAGCAAAGGTCTTATGGGCTCCAGGATAAAATTTATTGTGGGGCGGAAAAATCCAAAGTTTGTTCGCTTTTAGCACAAAAAGACTTATTCTCATATTTTGCAGAGTTTTTTAAGACTCCTAATACGAAACTGTAATTTTTATATAGATATAAAGAAATTCTCTGCAATCTTCTTAAAAAAAACTAATTAACAAACACTATAATTTTTTGTAAAAAATTTTGGTCGGTCACTCTCAGAAGTTATGGGCCTGGGACAATATTTCTCACTCATCCCTTGAGTATGGCCTTGACTGCATCACATTTAAATTACATGCATAATTTTCTTAAATTTTCAGAAAATTATAGAAAATAAACTTACTTCGTCCCAAGTACACTACCTCCAGGGCACTCATAATAAGCTTCGTACGGAGATCGTCAAGAAGTTAAGAGTTGTAAACATTATTGTTTACAACTCTTAACTTTTCCTAACTTTTTTTTTTACTTTTCGTTATCTTCATTTTAACCGATTTTTATTATATAATTTTTTCTTCTTTTGTAGGTACTGTGATAATCAGCTCTAGAAATGAGTGGACAAAAAAAAAGGGGAAAAAAAATAGATAGGGAGATGGCCAAGGCTCTTGGTACGGAGAGTGTCTACCCCCTCCCTCCGAATGAAAGTTTTGATTAAAAATGGGAATACTACCTCCTTAACCATTAATAGAGCCATTTTCTTATAGTAATATTATGTCTGATTAATTTTGGGATTGCGATTGATAAAAAGAAATTTATTTCGATTACTATACTTAAATTTAATTTATTTTTTAAGCCATTTTTGGGGGTAGAAATTTTTTGAAATGTTATCCTCTTTAAAGAAATGGGCATAAAATTGAACTTCTGTGACTATAAATAAATAAATTCTGTGTTTATAAATACCAATGCACTCGACGAGAAATGATCAAATGCATGAACGCGTTACACACAAGTGAAAATAGCTCCTCAGAGTCAGTTTCTCTTTTTGACTCCTCACCGACCTTCAGTACCCACATCATTTACTATTGCCCTCTTCAATGTTTTCGCCTATTTCTTTGAAGTTATTAATAGATGTCTTACACAGAAAACGTTCTATATTGTTTCGTATATTTGTGTTCTTCAAGAAAACTGATTTCACATAGATTGTCCAAGAAGACTGCAAATACAGATTGAGTAACCACCCAAATTATTCTAAGCTAAAATTTAGGTGTCTCCTCGCTAATCACGTATAAAGGCAATTTCCTCGATTTTTTTTAAAAACTTGCAATGGCAACGCTCTGTAAATTGTTTTTATTTACATTCTACTGCAAAATTTTGTAGTTTCGGCATTGCAGAATAATCGACGTTTTTAAAAGGTAGTGTATAGAGTGAGGATGCCTGTGAATCCTCAGGAAACAGGATGACCCTTCCAGGCATGTTTTCAAGCATGCGCAGTATACTAATCATAATGAGTAACGCCTCCTCCCTGTCCTTCCTAGTCAGATGACTACGCGATAGAAAATGGCGAGAAATGGCATTTCAAAAATGTGACTACTTCAAATTTATCCAAAACTAATCAAGGATTACATAAAGGGTATGTGACTATACTTTATTCAAAATATTTATTATCTGCCTTTTCACTAGAAATTTATACCTCCTTAAGAGTTGAATGATCATTTCTTTAAAATATTTGACTAACGAAAATCTTTATTTGATGTCAAAATGTGCAATGACTGGTGGATTACCAGAGGAAACCCGAATAGAGAATGATTTTTAAATTTAAATATGTTTATGCAATCCTTTGTAATAGTATTTAACGAGCATTTAATAATATATAGAGAAAAGGCAGCAATAAATATATAGAATAAAATATATTTACTACTCATAATACTGTGTTCCCTTTTGTTCACTCATTGACTCAATAGAATATTCATAAGATTGCCATAAATGACATAAGAAAAATAAATAAAAAAACATTTCATCAAAGCAATATATTATTTAAGCAATAATGAACTTCTACTCACTGTTATAAAAAAATACTTTATTTTCTTATAAAAAACATTAAATTTTCAGAGTTTATTTCTTATTCCCAAAAATTCGTTTGAAATTAAATATTTATATATAAAAATATAGGGTTTTTTTTT